GCCTTTACATGTTGGAGACCATATATAGTCTGGTGGTCGAAGGCTCTTTTGACTAAAAATTTTGAGCAGAGAACGTTTCTATTATACTAAATCGGAGCAGGTTTTGTTTCATACGAAGGAAGATAAAAGGGTAAATATTTTAAGTCATTGCAATATGAATATGTAATTAAATTTACTCTAGTATAGTAGAGTAGTAAGTGTAAATCTTTAAACGGCAATTCTCCACAACGGCACAACACGCATAATACTAATCTATTTCTACTGGCGAACCTAGCCTAAGCAACTGGCTCTGCAAATTTTTGAATGAATTACGTATTCAAGCATTTACAAATGCATTGTTTAATTGTTTACGATGTATGGAGATCAGTTCATATTAATTAAGGCGCTGTTACAATATACACTTTTCCTTGCGAAATGTCAAGAGAACGTCAGCAGAGCGTAATAAAATGTCATATTTGCCAACACTACATCTCTCAAGAGTAGAATTGCATTGCAAGTTGCAAGGAAAATCGTTCAACACAGCAAAGCGGGACCAGTTGCTATGGCTAGCTACGCCACTGTCTACACGTCGAAATAGAGACCTTTAGTTTGACGTTTACGGCAAACGCCAAACCGCTAGCAATGTTTGTGTTTTAACTCCACTATCTTTAAGTGTGCGGCAATTTCGCTAAATTACAAACGTTCTACATAAAACTTGTGATGTTCAGCAGTAATGTAAGAAAGCAATAGGCTATTTCTGATGTATTTAGAAAAGCAGCAAATTCAGCTTTGCCGTATGTGTTTCACGTTCGCCGTATAAAATTTAATGCTTGAACGACTGCATACCCAGCTAACACACAACGTAATCCCAACGTTAGCGCAAGGTTGTGGGAATGTCAGGTCAGACCTAACTAAACCACGACATTCCCACGACGTTGTTTTCCCGTCGCGATATTACTATACGTGTTAATAACGTTGTAGCGACGTAGAACTTGGACGTGTGACACAGGTATTTATTTAACGTTTGCGCAACGTCCTTTGTTAACGTCGAGACGACGTCAAAGCAAAACGTATTCAAATAACGTAGATACAACGTTGCCATTTTCGAATATAGTAGTAGTAGTAGTAGTAGTAGTAGTAGTAGTAGTTTATTAAAAACAACATCTCGCAGTCTTAAGACTGAATTACATGTGTTGGATACAACACACATATATATATATATATATATAAATATTTTAAGTCATTGCAATATGAATATGTAATTAAATTTACTCTAGTATAGTAGAGTAGTAAGTGTAAATCTTTAAACGGCAACACACATATATATATATGTAAATATTTTAAGTCATTGCAATATGAATATGTAATTAAATTTACTCTAGTATAGTAGAGTAGTAAGTGTAAATCTTTAAACGGCAATTCTCCGTTACATGTGTTGGATACAACACATATATATATATATATATATATATAATTATATATATATATATATATATATATATATATATATATATATCATAGTGACACGTGATATCTGTTTGAACTTTGAACACGTGTTCGTCTTTGATCGTCTCTTCCCGCTGTAAAATTTTTACTGTTTGAAGCGTGTTCTGTCGTTCTGTCTTGGCTATTGCTGGAGTCATACGTATTATTTACAGAAGATTTTGTTAAGGATATTGTCGCTTGATTTTAAAGTAAGTATAATTATGTTGCCTATATACAGAGAATACTAGATTTATAAGACTTATAAATATTTATACCAAGACGATCATATACGTTTATAGCTCTCACTAATTATCATATATTTAATATTGCGAAAGTATAGCGATTTTAGAGGTTCTATCAAAGAACGTTTGTGTAGAATATAAGCCCAAAAGCACGGGATTATATTCTTACTAGCTAGTAATTTAATGTGTATGAAAATATTTACATATATTGCGAGGAAAGATTTTTAGGCATGTTAATATTTGCATTCAAGATGGCCGCCATTTGGTGGTTTTCATCATCCTTTATAAACAGTTATCGTTTCATTAAACGGCTTTATATAGAATAATTAAATCATAGTTTAAACTTTAAAGGAAGATAAAAGAGATATTACACCTTTCCAAAAATACGGATGGGCATGTTTTACGAAGGATTGAAATCGATTGAGTTCAATCCATCAATAATTGCCAGTTTGGTCTGATTCAATCAAGTATAAATAATTTATGTTACTCTAGTACATTAGATAAGTTGTAAATTGTCTCTCTTTTATTTTTTTATATGTTTAATGATTGAAGAGCTTATTCAAAAAAAGTAAATTGATCATCCACTGTTATAGTCATACAGTCATGCATGATATAGTCATAAATGTATCATGTACAGTATGTAAGAAATAATGTTTGCCGTGCTCAAATTTGCTTATTTTAACTTATTTACCTCTAAAATGCTCCACTTAAATCTTTTTCATTAATTATCAAATTGCTTTTTAAGGTAATTGAAAAAATACAGTATGTGTAAAAGCATGAGAGTTGACACACATTCTACAATTTCCCAGCAAGCAGGAGCAGGCCCTTTATATATATGGGCCTACCGTTGAATCAGTTTGTGAATATTTGCGATCTTTTGGGCAAAAAATACCGCTTATTTTCGTAAATGCACGAACAACTAAAGATTTAGTCAATTTTTTAGAGCTAAGCAAAGGGACAAATGGCTATTTTCTGCTGGGAATACAAGTGGGAAAGGTCCTAAAAGCCAAATTCGCTAAACTAAGGCCAAGTAAAAAAAAATAGTAGTTTCTCGTCCCCCCCCCGCATGCGTTTTTCCTGCCGCATCCACTTTTCTTTTATTTATTATTTTTATATTCGCCATTTTCCGCATATTTTGGGAGTGCTCAGGAAAGATTCGAAAGTGCTCGGAAACAATTAGAAAGTGCTGAAATGATTCGGAAGTGCTCGGAAACCATCGCGGCATGCGCCTGGCGCCATTCTTAACAATTGCAAATTGCAATTTCCATGTTCAGCGCGTTGGATTCAATATGGTTTTCAGGCCCGAAGAAAAGAAACAAGCAGAGGCCGCGGAACCGGGGGGGCATTGGGGGCAGATGCCCCCCCACTTTTCGTGTAAGGAGAAAATGTGCCCTTTTTTAGAAGTAAAAGTGCCCTTTTTCTGAAATGATTTTCACATTTTTTCTGTGATGAATTTGCCCTTTTTAATTTTAAGAAATAAAGTGCCCAAGTGCCTTCTGTTTAACTGGCCTAATATTCGAGCACGATGAGATTATCTCAAGTTCATTCTTGTTTCTAAAAAATTTTTCGAATTATCACCGCCACCGCCGGTTTATTTCAAATCCGCACTTACAACACTAGACGTGATCTTTTGCGGTTACCTTTAGCTAAGCCTAAAACAATTAGTTATCAGGGCAGCTTTAGACAGGCGTTGAAAAACAGAGTAAAGTGTCGCTTTAGTCATAGGCTATACAGTGCAATTATTTGCTCTGAACAATTAATAAAATAATTATGTTTTATAAACTTGTATTTTTAGTTGATAAAATCTAAAAACGGAGGGTACCGTTTCAGTAGTTTTGTATATATATATATATATATATATATATATATATATATTATTATATATATATATTATATATATTATTATATATATAGTCTGATGGTCGCCTATGTGCGTGACACGCGATCGAGTATACAAATTGCCCCTTTTCGTCAGTGCCCCCCCACGTTTGACATGCTTCCGCGGCCTCTGGAAACAAGCGTACATTTGTACCAAAATCGAAGTTGCAAGCAGTTGCTGCTTAATTCCAGTGACACTTTTCTATATTTATTTAATTTACCATATGCTTCATATTAATTTTTCACTGAAAATATAAATAATAAATAAAAAATAAAAGTGCCCGCGTTCTCCTCTTTTTCAAAAATTCGGACGAGAAACTGCTAATTTTTTTTACTTGCCCTAAAAAAGAAGCGGGATTTTATACAAAATTGAAGGTAGTGTCTCCATTTAATAGTTCCATTTTTCACTCATAGAACTTTAGAAAATATAATTGCTTGTAGCGGAAGCATTGAAACAATTTCGTCGTGCGTTTATCAATACATACTGCGTTTGTCTTTAAAAACGCTGAAATATCTTCAACAATTTTAATATAACTGAAGAATACAAGCAGGTTAAACGTTGAGGAAACGGCTTTGAATGTTCGGGAATTGGTTTTATATACTATTATATAACTATCACTACGCCATATGCGCCCGTGCGCAGGCAACCATAACATTGGGCTGCTATGTTCATGCAATCGCCATTCGCAATAAACAAAACATTGATATGCGTTTTGCAAATCCTTATGCACTCTTTAGTGCTTATTTTTACTTAACTTATAGTATTTTTGTGTATGTTTTGAAATTATTTGATGAAAATTTGAATAATGTAAACCATTCAGTTTTACCCCAGGCAGCCCGGTCACTGCTGTTACGTCATACTATTATATATGCATGTATATTGTAATTATATACATATGTAATAGCATGACGTAACAGCAGTGACCGGGCTGCCTGTGGTTTTACAATACCAATTTTGATTTTATTTAGTTTTTCAGTTTTAGACTTGCAATACCTGTAAAACTTGAGTACAATCTATATACATCTATATAATACATCTATATACATATTTGTGCATTCCTACCAGGAAAAGGTAGCTACTGTAATGTCATGTTCTTAAACACCCCTACCTGGCCACACCCGATCTTATTCCGATTTTATTTTTATTCTTATAGTCTTATTCTTATTCTTATGCTGATTTTATTCCGAGGGAAACAGATTTCACGGGGAAACCCAAATCATTGTGACACCGGTCGCAAGTCGCAACTTGCACGGTGGGATGCAAAATCGTGGTGTAAATGTTTGACTTTGAAACCACGACATCATTTTGATCAGACTGTTACCGAAATTTGCTAATTGAAAGCGTAAAGCACGCAGCGTTTTGTTCGCCTATCGTCTTTATTTTTTAGCTTTTCTGCACACTTTTGATGCGAGAATGTCTTCAAATACTCTTAGTTTGCTCTTCCTAACTGATAGTTGTTTTATCTTTAATTTCAGGTCCAAAATTCTGGGAGAAATTTATCCACGTTTTTCCATTTATCCAAATGTCTCTAGACAAGTCGGAGGAGGAGGTAAGAAAGTCAACCATTAAAGGACTGTTTTTGTTCTTGTTTAGTTGTTTGTTTTTAAATTTTCCCACTCCACCAAGAACACCATGTAGCACTTAATTTAATAACTTTGCCAATGTAATAACAATAAATTGACACGGGAGCCGCAACAGCTAGTTGCCAATTACCGCGGACCGAATAATTACTTAACATAACAACAAAGCACAACATAACAAACATATAACAAAGAAACAAAGTTAATACAACACCAGACCAAGAGTGGATTAGATCGAGTAAATATGAAAACTGATCACCTCGATCAGTCAATTTATAAAACTGAATGAAATAGAAATTCACGTCGAATATATATATATAGGTTAAGGTTGTCTTAAGATTTGAAATATCGTAGTCAACAGAACGGCGTTTTAACAGTAAATGGAAATCGGTCTTAAACTTGTTTAAAATGTTAATCCGTGTCGTGTCAATTTATGCATGGAGTAAAAAATCACTCGCTTTAAAAATCAGAACGTTTTCGCACTCGCCTAACCCCATTTACCTCCCTTTTGCAGCAAATTTCGTGATTTTGCACAGCAAAAAATATTTAGGGAAAAGTACTAAACTTAAATAACGTTTTTTTGGAACTATGTACTTAAAAATATCAAGACCAAAGACTTGAAGCATACAAACGGCTCATGTAAATCCAGTTTTGTTTAACTGAAGTGGGGTAAAGTTGAGCCGCAGAAAAGAGCAAAATATGTATATTATTTTGTAGAAAAGAACAGTGAAGGAATGTTAGTATGGGGAACTAAGTCTGAAAAAGCTTGCATAATACATTCAAAATAATGCGCATTCATGCATGATATTTACGGTGCCGGCGATTGCTCCAATAATAGCTACAATTTGTCGTCCATTAATTGACTATCTAGCTATAGGCGAAGTATAAACTACAGTGTCGGAGGAATAGATCTCCAACAGGGTTGTTTTTAATAACGTAATTCATTGCTAGGATTCATTGAAATTTGATTTTTTTTCCTTAACAGTTATTGAAACCAGTTGAAACTCCGAGTCCTGTCAAATATGTCCTATGTTCAACAGGGCAATCACCGCCAGCAAATGCTGTTCAAGGTGGATATGATAACGGACCATCTTACCACGGGAGAGGAATTGTTTCTGGGAAAAATATTCCAGGCAAGGTCGGAGTAGATTCGCCTAGAAATGGCGGTTTGAAAGGGGCGTGCATTCCTTACGGATCAAAAGAGCACCGCGTCCACACATTCGAGGTGCTCACATCAACATTGAAAACATCCTATGTGAGATGCAAAACTGGTGACAAGCCACCAAAAAATGCTATGGAAGGAGGCTACGATGGAGGTCCTTCATACCATGCAAGGGGCGTAGTTGCAGGAAAGATGATTCCTGGAAAAGTTGGAGTGGATAAGAAATACGATGGGAATCTTAAGGGAGCATGCATCCCCTACGGTAGCAAGGAGCACCGCATTCACGATTTTGAAGTTCTTGTTTTAAATGATGATGAGATAATAAATGATGATGAGATAATCCGTGTCGAATACAAAGTTGACGAAGCAAAATGCTTTCTACGACTCCGAAGGTAATCGCAAAACAGACAAATCATAACGCCAGTACTATCAACCAGAGTATGGAATTCTGGTTTGATGAGACAATTACCAAAAGTTTTTCATTTTCGCATCAAGCTGGGGCAACAATTTCCGTTGGAACAAAATTTAAATGTGGCATTCCAATGGTGGGCGAAGGAGAAGCGAATGTCGTTGTGACCGGTTCTCTCCCACAGTTGGGGAACATCCGGTTCAAATGCCAAAAAGTATTATGCTAAGTTTCCTGTTATGGCAGGACCTCATTCCACAGTTGTTTGTAACGCAGTGGTGAACGAGACCAAGATGGATGTTCCTTATACAATCTACTTCAAATCTGGGAAGACGTCAAGCGGACTATGGAAAGGATTTTCTACATGGGGCTTGAAAGCAACTTACGAAGAGACCAAGGACTAAAGCATGGCTTTTAAAATCACTTAACAAATTTAAACGGTCTAAACTAGAAACAGCGTAAAAGCAAGACAATATATCTAGTTTGACTGCATCTATGTAGTAGCTATTTAGTGGGTATCACTTGCAACCCGATTGTAACTACTTTAGGAATAAATAACAAAGAACAATATCTGTGTGGCTTGAATCCGGGGTCTTTCATTAATTTATTGTGTGATCATCCAGATTAAATTTTTTATTATTAATTCTGACGTTTCGGCTTGCTACACGAAAGCCATTATCAAAGACGTATATTACAATTGCAAATTTACAGTTTTATGTTGCGTCAAATTGACGTCCGCGTGAACAGTTTACAAAGTGAATGCCCCGCAACTTATGTTGGTGAAACTGGACGTACTCTCGATTCTCGCATTAAAGAACATAAGCGATCAACAGAGAAACAAGACGTGGCGAACAGAATTGCGGTTCATCATATGGAAACGAAGCACAAAATTGATTGGTAGAGAGCCACTTGTATGGAATTCAACGCTTTTGAGGATGAGAGAATGTTTTTAGAAAGCTGGTTATGAAACGAAATTTTACCCAATATTTTATTGCATTATTTGAACGTATCTTCAAAATGATGAAAAATGACAGCTATAGTTCATTCATATCTCAACTCATTCCCAAGTTATCGCACTTTTTGTATTTTGAGTTATGACGTCACTGGTTGTGCTTGAGATAGCAGCAAAAAGAAGAAAGTCTAACTTCGCACAGGTGACAGAACGTAATTAGATGAAATTTGGTTCTAGTAAAAAGTGTACTTGGGCAAACATTTAAGTGTGTTCATATCGTTGTCATGACCGCAGACTATACAGAAGAAAGTCTAAAGGTACGTTCACACACAACGATTAATCGGTCCGGTTGGGGTTTACATAAATGACATTTGAAAAAATTCGCAGTAAACGTCATCTGACGACATAACCAAATGACAGCAATCGCCATTATCATTCAGCAGAACCAGAAATCGGCCCGATTAATCGTTGTGTGTGAACGTACCTTAACTTCCCACAGGTGAAAGAAGTTCGTAGTTAAATGAAATTTGGTATGAGTAATAAGTGCACTTGGGCAAACATTTCAGTGTGTTCATACCATACCAGGCCTCTATATTCGATTTGCTTATTCTTTGATTCCAACAACTTCCAATTTAACTGCGTTAAAGCCGATGTTTCATTGAAAAACCGACAAAAAATTTGTTCGTGTGTCTTTCGCGAACCCGCACAACACGTGCAATGAACCTGCGCATGCGCTGTGCTATCTCATGGGATCTCCTACCTCGGGGTTGTTGATATATGCATATTTATATTCTGTTCCTGTTCCAACTGTTCTTGGCTTGAATTTGAAGTGTGTATAGTACCACTCGAAATTAAGACACTTTAAACCACTAGAATATTCCTGCATCGAGTGAAGTGCCAAAAATCATTATATATGAGTATATTAGAACAAACATTGATATTGAGGGATATAGATAATTACGGACACGTGACCGAGAAACGTTTGAGATACGTTGACAATATGTCGTCTTTATTTTTTGAACACATGTTTGTATATATTAAGTGAAATAAACCATTTAAGTTAACAGGGGTCATGTGATAGAATTAAAGCACTTGGTACGATCGAGCATGGTACATGTTCGAGTTAGTTGCAATTACTAGTATTACAAAGAAGTTGTGAGATTAACTAAAGATTAATCACACCAAGACTAAACTATACTTCATAAATTCAATTGCCTTGACGCTTGTCTGTCTGCCACCCCTTTCTGCCCTCTCTTCTAGGAAGCTCAATCATCAGATAAGTATGGGGGCTTCTTCACTATCTCGTGCCCAGGTACTTTCCTTTTTATCCCGTTCCGTGAGTGCTCGCGGGTATCTGGCAGCCTTTTTGAGCCAGAACAATTTGTTGAACAGATAATTTCACAAGGCAGCTACCTTATATTAGCATGTTGTCTCTTTTGTAGCTTTTGTAAGGATTGGGGCATTTTACTATTTTAGACCAGGTTCTATCTTGGCGATAAAAAGGATACATCCGGGAAGGGTATGGGTGTGACTAATTAACGGAACTGCAGACTAGATTGCATGCTAAGCTAGATGAAATATTAATATTTTGTTGACCCTCCTTTGGCCTTATAATTGATGACGGCCTTACACCGGCGTGGCATACTTTCTGTTAAGGTGGTAATCTTAGCGGTCAAAAGAAGTTCATCCTATGCATGGACAGTCTTTACAGCAACCCATAAATCATGGACGCTTTATGAATTAATTCCTTTCTTGCACTATCCCCTTGACATTGTCTCACAGATTTCCAATAGGGTTAAGTCTTTTGACTGTGCAGGCCAATCCATTTCTGTCACTCCCTCTTCCTGAAACCATTGTTTGACTGTCTTGGAGGTGTGGCAGGTTGCATTATATTGTTGAAATATCGCTTGGGATAAGAGAATTATCCAAAATGCCTATGAAGCTCTCTCCTATATTCGCATCTTTTTTATCAATTTGTATTTAAACAGTTCTTTTTGACCGCTATTACAATAAAAGATTGATTGTCACGATTCCTGTTACATACGATAATAGCAACATTTGAGCAGTTCTTTTTGACCGCCAGTGTATAATATTGCGAGTCATGCTCTGAGCAGGGTGAGTTGTCCTTCTGTGTACGTTCCTTTATTCTGTATAACGCGACACGTGCTCAATACAACATGGCAGGTTTTTTGGAGGGATTCAAAATGCGTATATAATCAGTATGCCCCATATCAGGGACGGCACACGGCGCAGAGTATTTTTGCATGCCGAAAGGTACCATTGTTGTCGCTGGCCATAATATTCTTTGGATTCATTCTTGGATCAAACTGCGATCGCAGTTTTCTAGCCGGACTTATTTTGCTGGGTTTTTTTTTCATATTCTCTATCTGGCAGACGGCAGTGGCGTAGGAGGCACGACATTTTGGGGGGTGGGGGGCATATATTCATGCATGTATTATTCATGTTGTGCATAATTAATTTATTTTCAAATCGATTGTCTTTACAGTTTGTTAACATGAATATATGCAATATCGCCCCCCCCCCCACGCGCATTTCTACGTCACTGCTCTCCACCGTTTAAGCTGATCAACTTTGAACAACCGGTCCAGCTATATATGTGCTGTTTTTCTCTACGTCTATATTCTATATTTCTATTAAGACATCATGGTATATCCCAAACATTCATATTCCAATTGCATATGCTTTTATGTTACTATGACCACCTTCGAACACATAATGATTCATAAAAAAGTATTATTTAAATACACCCCAAGTTGAAATAAATACATGATATACAGTATACCCTCAAAATCTTAACCAGCAATTCGTTGCATATTTTGCAAACAAACCGATTGTTCACACACGGAATTCACTTCCATTTTAATTGAAACACACTGTGATTTAAAACGTTCATTATTCATGTTATCACCATGGTGGGAAAATAGTAAATAAAAATATTAAGCAATACGGCATCAGCAACATGCTAATAATTGGTCGTAGTGTCATTGCTTTGCTAGTATCGTTGCCACAAACAGGAGCAGAACCTTTGGTTGGGGTGCAGCAGAACTGGCTCGCATTCAGATCAGGAAATATTTTGCCAGCTAGGTTGCTAGGAGATGCACATTTCATTTTCTTCAGAACATCCTTGCCGGTCAAGTCATTACCAATTTCAACCAGTGCATACTTATGAAACCAAGCAAGATGGCAATCGCAGTTGAATGGATTTTCTTGTATGCCAAAAGATTCCAGTTTCAGTTCGGTGAATGGATTTTCCTCGATGGTTGATATATTGTTATAAAATAGCAACAAAGTGGTCAGTTTTGTCAGCCCTTCAAATGCGCCTTTCGGAACCTGTGTGATTTCATTGTGGCCGAGATCTAACCGTTCAAGCGAAGTCATTTTTAGCAAAAAACTATCATTCCCAAACACTTTCTCTGTAGTAAGACCACAATATCTACAATCAAACCATTCAATCGTAATTCCACTCATAGCATCCGGGTCTATTTGAACGATATTGTTGCTATATAAATCAACAATTTTGACCTTTGTCCCCTGCAGGAAATCTGCACCGATATACTGAATATTGCAGGAAAGCAAACCGATTTTTTTCTAAATTTGATAGGCCACTGAACTGATTCTTTGCCAAACGAGGTATGTTTGAGTAATCTACATGCAGCTCAGTAATGGTTTTGGTCACACCTCCGCTGCCGATGCCGTTTAATCCCGTTGAATTCAGCTTAGAATGCGTAATATATAGCTTCTTTAACGGACTGTTTTCAAAGATGCCATCTGGCAGGGATTCAAAGGGATTTTTACTCAAGTGAACGAGCTCTAATTTCGAGAGATTTGCAAATATTCCAGGCACGAAAGACGCGAGCTTATTGTCTTTCAGTGAAACATATTTTAAGTTCAAAAGCTCCTGAAATGTCCCGTCTTGTATGTAATTCAAGATTCCTTCGCTCATGTCAAGCTTTTCCAAGACAGGAAGACCTATGAAGTCGTCTTTAGTGAGATTTGTGATGCTGCTTTTCTCGATTATCAACCATTTTGTATCGTTGTTGAATACACCTCGAGGAAACGTCGTTGTTGCTTGCATATTCTCGCAAGATACGAGCTTCGAGTTAGGAAAACATTTACAATTTGATGGATATCGCTGCGGGCAACTGTCTCCAGTTGTCAAGATGAATAGCGAGGCATAAAGGAATATATTCAGTATATAAAACATTTTCTCTTGGATCGACTCTGGGGCCAAAGATGACTTTCCAGCAACGGATCATCAAACAACAAACAAATAAATGCCTCTGACTCTGAGTGTCGCTTTGTGCCGGGTCAACAGCGAGACAGTGTAGCATGCATAATTAATTTGCATTATAATTAACTTTGCATTCAACATAGAGCATTTTGGGGACATTTAGCTATACGTTAGCGTATTACAAGCAGTAGATACATGCAGAGAGAACATGTTTCGGGCGTTGAGGCGAGTACCAAGATCCAAATCTTACGTTGACTCAAGAAGGCTCGTTTTATAAAGACATCTCTGTGACAAGTACCAGCAGTGGCGTAGGGGAGACGATAATTGGGGGGGCACATATTCATATATTCATGTTAACAGAGTAAATAGAGTAAACAGACCTGTAAAGACAATGCATTTGAAAAGAAATTAGCCTGTGAAACATAGTTTATAAACTGATTTCATAACGGAGCGTTTTTAGCCTACGTTTAACGGGTTTCAAAGCCGGTTTTCCACTAGCGATATTCTTCGCGCGCGAAGCGACTTTATTCCTTTGTATTTGAGCAATTTGTTCCAGATGGTTGCAGTTGAGAGCTCTGAAACAAAAGTAAAATGTCGCTTCACGCGAAAAATATCGCTAGTGGAAAACCGGCTTAAGTCATAATTGACCTATACATTGTTTAGGGTAAGAAAAAACCTGGTTTACATCTGAACTTATAATTTAACGGTATTTTCATGCAAATCAGCACCGTATTTTTAAAGAGGAAATACTGGATGGAGCTGAGAAAAGATTGACAGAGGCCTGCAGGTATTTGATCAGTAGGGAAAGAAAAATGCTAATCTAACATCAGCTGATTTATGTTCCGACGTACAAAGCATTTTGCGCACTAGCAACCTCAGATAAAGGAATCCTCGATTCGTAGGACAAAAGTATGAACAGTGCTGCAGGTTTCATGACCCTAAACTTAACAATAGACGACAGGTCACCGGGTATGTCAAATGATTGATATATTACTGCATGTACAGGGTGCATAAAAAAGACAGAAATTAATATTTAGAATATCTACTTTATTTATAACAACACAAAAGGCCTTTGCATGGTCTCTGGCGTTTGAGGCTGTAATTGCATTGTGGCGCCATGCACAATTGTCTTGACTGTACAGGATATCCCGGAAAACCCCAAAACCATTGAAATCACCCATAACAATGTAATAGCTGGAGTTTGAATACCTAAGCACTCTGTTGTGACCAGTGGCGTAGCCAGCCTGAAGATTTAGTCATGCTATGCAAATTTTATGTTATTATCGTTATTCATTTCTTTAGAAATTCATTGTTTTCACAGTCGATGAACACCAAATATTAGCATAGCATGACTAAATTGTCGGGCTGGCTACGCCACTGGTTGTGACCCACAAGTGGATAAATGTCTGACATAAGCATTTTTATGCATGAAGACAATAAAATATGTTTGTATCCACAAATGAATTTTAGTAATTAGTACAACAATATTTACATTTATAAGACACTACAAATATGGACAATATTTAAATTTACAACTCAAGCACCATGACCTCGACATGTCCTTCTTCTCAAGCAAATTTTAAATCTTTGTGGTCCTATTTAGCATTTTATAAGTTGCGTTAATCCCCACGAGCATTCAAATTTTTACAATAGGTGGTGATTTCAATAGTTTTGGGGTTTTTCGGGACACCCTGCATGTTGTTAGTAAATAAGTCGAGTGCACAAACAAAGGAGATTTTTTTCATCTAGACCCAAAACCTATTGTGATCAAAGAACAATATGAATTTCACAGGGTGTCTCAAAAAAAATGCAAGAATATTAATACTGTTCGGGTTTGCACCGTAGTTCAGCTAAAATGACTTTTGGCATTTTAAATGAAGGATTAAGATTTTCAATTCCCAGAGGTGCTTATCTATTGCGCTTTAGAGCTGTATTAATGTTCTAGCATATTTAAGTGGTTGCGTTTTTTTTGAAACACCCTGTAGAGTATTAAGGCCTTGGTTAAACGTCGCATTTTGGTCGCGTCGAATGGAATTCAAACATTAGATATTGATATGATAATGAAGCTTAATGAGGTTTATCATCTCATTATCTATTGTTTGAGTTACGTTCGACGCGACCAAAATGCGACCTATAACCTTTGCCTCGTTGCCTTTATACACCCATGTATAATGAATACGGAATGAATGGCACGAAGTATGAAGAACGCCTTAAAATTGAGACTGATTATATATCTGAGAATAGTTTGAGTGAGCAACATGGCAATCGTGACAAGCACAAAACGATGGCAGTAAGCAGGAAAGAGGCAGACATCGCGAGTACTCTCGTTGAAAGGAACAAAGTGTCAACAACTAACATGGTAAGAGTTAGTACCTCTAGTTGCTTCAGTTCAGTTTTCAGACATGAATTTGATTATATACTAATGTTTGATTTCAATTGATCACACTTATATGTTCACTGTAATAAAAAGTGAGCAACATATCTATAGTATACATACTCCGTAAGCCTGTAAAGTTTGTTAGATTGTCCGAATCTCTCGCTTAAATAAAATTATTCTTGCCTGTTATGTTTTGTGAACATGTATTTACCCGGATAATACAAAGCTAGCAAGACAAGTCAAACTGATTAATGTTCATGGTTAACAAAGTACCGGCTTAGCCAACTTAGCGATGACAACGTATTGTATTATGTAGGAGTATAATTTAGTATAACATTCCGGTTCGAAGATGGCCTGGTTGAATGCAATAGCTGGAACACATTCAAGACACTGTAGATAGATACTCAGAACATCGTGTAAGCGATTAGCACCTGGGGCTGATTACCTGGTGTCTTTTCAGTCCTCGCGTGGCTGTTAGCTCAGCAAATTACTCACGTGTGCGGATAATTTTTGTGAGGAATTCGCCTCGAAAGGCAACTGATTTCTCACGTGTGCGAATAGTTTTCTGGCTGAGGTAACTGCCTCGAAAGGTCGTTAGCTCAGCTGATAGCTCTCGTGTGCGGTGGGTTTAACGCATTTTCCTGATATTAAACGTGTTTGATATTTTCTGCCACGAGTATAAAATTTCCTAGTGTGCATGTGGTCAACGAACGACAAGTTGTTCTGAAAACAAGTAAAGCACGCACGCGTGTTATACCTTGAGAATTTACACTAAAATCCATCTGCCAAATTTGACAACTGCATGTGGCGGTATATTTTAAACAAAGTTACAGGCGTTTTTGCGCATGGTATTGCCGGGTGTTGCGGGGTAAAATGGCCAGGTTTCAGAGAGGATTCTGTTGAGAACATGGGGTCACTTGGACACTGGGACTCACTGAGGGAGGGGTGGGGTGAAAACACCATTCGGAAACGTTTGGATTTCATTTTAGTTTATTTAGAGTTTGATTTTTTAAAAAATATTGGTGTTAATGCTTGTTTTAAGTTTCTATTAGTTAATGTTAATATTTTATCTGCCAAAAATTTTAGGAGGGCTCAGCCTTCCCAAATCTACATTAAATTTTACATTAAAGGGAGCTCAGCTCCCCAGAGCCCTCTTCTACAACCCAACTAGTGTGATATCAAATCTATCATGTCTAAGCTTTATCTCGCAGACTGCGAGCATGAAAGATGCTACTGAACTCAGTATACTCGTTTCGGATACTGCTAGGCCTTTTTGGACGATTTTCTACGAAGTCTGATTGAACAATTATTTGTCCATTTTTTCCTGTCTCTATTTTGAAATCTTCCAATGTGCTATCCACTGATTCCTTTTGAAGATAACTAAAATATATATTATTACTTCAATGTAATTCCAGGAACTCCTGTCATAAAACCTAATCAATCACTGTCTGTACAGTATTTTGGCAAAGTTTTGGGGCAAGCCCTAAAGATCACAACTTTGGGGAAATGTTGTGTTTTAGAACCCAGAATTTTCCCGTGCGGGATATATGCAAAGTATAATTTCTTGGAATTGTCTTCAAATGTTCACATTTTGTATTGGTTTCAAGAATAAAATTAATTTTCATCCATGCAACAAAGCCAGGAAACCCATGCTGGTGAATACCGGCTGTGACTAAAACTTTTGCACAATACTGTATACACGTACAACTGACTTAGTTATAGTTGTCTTTTCTTTCAAAAGTGGGTACAGCCCGTGATGTATATTCCATCGTCAGAGTTTATATGTTTTGAAACGGTAAAACCTTTTTTGAATTATGTTTATATGATGCTTATTACTCAAAAACACTAATCGGTTACAAACCATTTTAGGCAAATTCCTGTTTGCGTTCCCTGATTTTGGTAGCTGACTATTTCATCTTTACTTCTTGGTCCAGTCTTACTCAGTTGAAATGTTAATGACCTGGAAATGGAAGATTTAACTTCATGTCAAAATTTATTAGGTTCAGAGATAGTTGAAACTTTTAAACAAGGGTTGTTTATTTCATCATAAAGTGTGTATCAATCACGTTACATGTCGCAGCTCTCGGAAGCTTTTGTCCAATTGGATAATGCTTTTCTATGCCTTCTAAAGAACGAAGCTATGCTATTGGTTGAAACAGGAATGTATTGTAAAGTTCATGCAGCCAGTGAAAATCATTCTTGCGAGGAGCTGCGACACTACTTAAAAACTCCGCAACAACTAAATATTCATAAATATTCGCTTTTTTCAATAACAAAAGATTGTAGCCGTAGGCCTCTGGGAACTATTAAGGTTGCCGTTTTTTATACACCCTATACACCCTATACAATAACTATTTCTGGAAAAGGGATCGTCAAACTGTAATATTTATTTTAGAGTCTTCATAAATACAGCATGCAATTCATCCGGGTTTCAACTGTAGAAATACAATAGACTTTGAACACGTATGTATATATACTTCAACATGCATGTGACCTGTGCCCGAAATAAAAATATTTCATGATAAAATTGACCATGCATGATGAATTTATTCAATTCATTTTTAATTTGAATTTATTTTCCAACGAGCGTGTGGTATGGAACGAATTGTGTTTTTTCCTTTTGAATATTTTTGAATACAACCAAACAAACCATTTTGAATAACAGATGTTCCAAGGTCTTAATTTGATGGGAAAATGAGTCAACTATCGGTCCTCCGGAAGGAATCGAACCTACGATAGTTGGCTCATTTTTCCATCAACTGTTCCTGGCTTGAATTTGAAGTGTGTATAATTCAACTCGAAATTAAGACCCTTTGAACCTCTAGAATTTACCTGCATCGAGTGAAGTGCTAAAAATCATAATTCATTTGAATGCAATATATGAAGATTGGACTTTAAATCGACAATAAATTTTAATTCGATACTAATATATGATTACGTATTTTTACCTCAATGATTGATTTTGCTTTTCTAATTTCGTCCTTAAACTTGAATTTTCTGAATCTAGCAAACGAACTCTGCAACACAAAATGCAATAATAGTTCATCTATTTATAAGGCAAAATAATGAACATATCTGTTGCTTTGTTAATCAGTTAGTCTTTATAATATACGGTAGGAATATCAAAGACAGTCTGTTAAATACCAAAATCACTTCTATCAGAAAATTTGCATGACTCTATAATAATAGTTCGGCTTGCATGGCATGCAAATTAACCATTTCAGATGTTGTGGCCATGGATTAGCCAAAAGAACTTAACCATTTCAGACCATCAGGCCATGTACGCCTCATTGGCGCAATAGGCCTAGATGATGATGATTTCAGACCATGTGATTTGAAACGGTTTAATTTAATTTGCATACAAGCTGAAAAGGTCTATAATATAAGATTGTCTATTATTGTCTATTAAGTATTATAAGATTGTTCATAAGATTTTCCGAAAACATCAATGATGAAAAATATACGTTTATTTAACATGTCAAAATACCCAGCAAATTTGCATAAAAGTCAAGCTAAATTTATGCTCTGGAGCCCGCGAACGCTGATGAGATGAAGGAAAGCTTTGAGACGAAGGAAAGAACGAAAATATTTAATTTCCGACAAGTAAATCCAGTTATTCTAATTATTGATATTCTCCGCTAAAAACTTGCCTTTTTTCTAAACTTTCTAAATGTTGTTTTTTTCTCTTTCTACTCTCTTGCGCCGATATCTTTCAAGAAAAAAAATAAAATGTGATTAAAGAAGTTATAAAATGTTAGAAAAAAGGTTAAGAATTACTTAAAACTTGTGCATTATTGTCACGCTACAATTTTCTTTCGATATGTTTACGTATGAAAGTAAAATGGTCTGGCTTAGATTGTACTCTGCGGATTAAGTCATAATGTTGGGACCAAGTCTATAATTTAACCACCTAAAATGTAGTCAAGGGCTGCATACAATTACCATTTTGTCATTCCTATTTCAATTAAGTTGAAGGGAGTATTTATGAAGTTTGAACAAGAAATACTTATGTTACAGACAACAGTCTAGATCTGTCGCCGACATAACAAAAGCTCTGGTATTTTAGTTCTGCAATAAAAGAGTTCTTACTTTGTTTTTGAGCTTCCGCCGAACCTTTTTCAAAGCAAATTCTTCAGCCTATTAAAAATAAATCAGCCGGAAATCTTTACTGCACGAAGAAGAGTGGTTCTTTTTAGTGCACCTGAATAGACCTTTTTCATAATGTCGTTAAAACGCGTAAAGTACGATGTCACGAAGTTTGATTGGTAGTTTTGTGGAGCCAATCAAATTTCATGTAACACCATACTTTCCGCGTTAGACGTCATTATAGGAAAGATCTATTACAACGAACGATTGTCTGACTGTGTTTCCACCTGATTTTTGTGAATACCCAGAAAATTCTGTTTCCTGCTCTTTGTCATAACGTTTAACTCACAGAGTTTAGACTTTGCAGATTACAGTGTAGATGAGTATACTGGATAGATAACATTTGTTTTCTTTCGCTTCAGACAAAGAAATCAACCGTCTATAGCAGTTTCGCTAATTCATTCAGTATAATAACAGTCCTGATTGTGGTGCCATAATCATATTGCTCTGAAAACAACAGCCTTCCAAACCTTAAAGGTGGGTAGAGACCGTACTGCAAGCAAATGCTTTGTTAAATATGTTTACATGCATTTTTGAATAACTATATTTCTTAAAATATCACTATTTCAGTGACTATATTATTATGTAGCTCTAAATGATAAATCATGCACGAAACATGCTATTGAAATTTCAGCAATTGCATGTATATCAAGTTGCCTACACTTTGTTATGAGCAGAACTGATGCGCTGAAGCCACTATAAATACCATTGTTGATAAAGAACATACGATAGACGGAGTTAGGTTGGAAACTTTTCAATTTCATGCAGCCCGGCGATTGCATTAAATTGGGGGACACATTGTAAGACTGAGTGACCCTAATGTATGTATCCACTTAGTGTGTTTATACCTTAGACAAAGGTGCAACAGCATCCTAATGCATGTTTCCACTTAGTGTATTTATACCTTAGACAAAGGTGCCACAACATCCTAATGTATGTTTCCACTTAATGTGTTTATACCTTAGACAAAGGTGCCACAACATCCTAATGTATGTTTCCACTTAGTGTATTTATACCTTAGACAAAGGTGCCACAACATCCTAATGTATGTTTCCACTTAGTGTGTTTATACCTTAGACAAAGGTGCCACAACATCCTAATGTATGTTTCCACTTAGTGTATTTATACCTTAGACAAAGGTGCCACAACATCCTAATGTATGTTTCCACTTAATGTGTTTATACCTTAGACAAAGGTGCCACAACATCCTAATGTATGTTTCCACTTAGTGTATTTATACCTTAGACAAAGGGGCCACAACATCCACACCATCCACACCAGGCTGATCAGAAAAAAATGATTTAATGTTTAGTGTAGGAATCCCGCGTTTCTTGTGTACCTGAAATTATATTTTGAAAATGTAGCAGTGAGACACTTCAAAACGACTGGTGTTGGTGGAGTTAGATCTTATAATAGCGTTAGCTAGTATACATTGTGAGTGTTGTCATGGAATAAAGCGGACTATTTAGATTGTAGATGACTAATATAACTATAATACAGCACAGGGAAGGGGATAAAGATGATTCATGAATTACTCTGCAGGAATTAAGACGCTTGCACCATTCATTATACGATGCAAAAATATAACGATTATGCAAAACTATGATGTGAAAAGAACTATTATTATATAATCATGCAAATTTTATGATAGAAATGATTTTGGTATTTTACCCGACATTTTTGACTAAAGTTTGACTTTGCCTACGGACTTCTTGGACAGTTCAGTTACATGTAGTCTGCATGTCCAAAAGGTTTAAAAGTGTTTCATGGACACACTTTACAGATAGACCGCGTAAGACCTGCAATTAACATGCAGAGTCACGGGCATCCAGGGCCGCCCAGAGAATTTTGGGGACCCGCGGCAAAATTCTCCTTAAAGGTCCAACTTGCACAGCAAAAAAAACTGCGGCTTGAACTTTGAGAAGTGTAAGAAAGTTAAATTTTGGGCGGTAGAGCATTGTTGAAATTTTCATCGAAGTTTTAGGGTGCAGAAATGCGATTTCCTTCGTTTTGGGAGTGAAATTTTTGCAATATCTAATGAACCTTGGACTAAGTATGATATTGACAAGCATACCACTTTGTCATGTTCTATAGCATCTCTCGCGCTCTCCTTTTTTTCATAGAAATCCATCTGGAAGGCAAATATTCAGTGATAAAAATACATATTTAATCTTTAGTGTATAAGATTTAATGTAAGATTTTGAGTAAAAACATTGTAATAGAGAGACGGGGTGATGGATACTTGTGCCTTATGAAATAAGATCAATAAGATTAAAGTTTCATAATTTATTGCGCCATAACTGATTCAATTGAAGCTTGGATTCTTCGCTTACATTAGTGGCACAACATGCTTTCAAGCAATGCAGCAAAATTTATTGACATGGTCAACTTTATAACTGAAGTGAATAAAGACATTTTTAGGGGATTTTTTATAAGATACAGTTGTAAACTTCGAGCCAATGCATTTTAAATCGTCTGGAAGCGAATTAAATAAACTTGTTCCACTAAATGATAACTTTGACTTAGCAGTTTCAGTTTTAACGACGGGGATCTCCAGGTCTGTCAGACATGATCTCGTGTCGAGAGGGAGAAATACTGTTAGCCCCTAACCTAACCATTTGGCAATATATCCATTAGTTACCAATACTGTATGTATATTGTACAACTAAAACTTGAGTTTAATCAGATTTAAAAGATATCAAATTGAGCTCACTAAATGAACATATTTTCAAGTATGATGACTCTACCTAGCTGTACTGTTAGTCTGTTATATAGTTATATATTGTGACTGAAAATCTCTACATGTGTTATGTGGGCAATTCTTATCGAGTTGCATTGTTAATTAAGAAATATTCTTCAATTATTCAAAATCTCGTGATTGCGAAGCCTTTGAGTACCTGATAAATATGTCCTAACACATTGTGACAATCCAAAAGACAGAACAAAGAACTGAAGGAGTCACACAAGCGAAGTATAAGATCCAATTCACACTAACAGCGAGATCGAAGCAAGGTTTTATTAAAAAATTGTCAGAATGACAGCATTAACCAGAATCCCCTCAAGCAATATTTCCACGTATATTCCTGCTTTATTTACAACCTTCTGTTAGTAAAAGGTTATAGTTTTGCCAACAAACAGCAAAAGCCACCTGCTAAAGAAACGGCGGGATTAACTGGTTCTAAACACAATACCCATTCAAGCGATGAATTTGCTGGCATGCATTCATTCATTCTGATACACGTGTGCACTTGGTTCTAAAGTTTGATGCTAAATTTTACATGAAAAGCTTTGTTCCTTTTTCAATACGTCACAGGAATGTGGATAAATTTAAATTAGTTTTTATTCCTTGATCTTTTGATTGCGTTGTAGCTTAGCTTGATGCTCATTAGAATTTTAAGCGACTCTAATGTACCGTATTTTGTTATTCGTGGATGTCATCGACATTCATCTAAGATAATGACCTTCGTTGACCTTCAGACAATGCCGTTAGTTTACAGGTATTACAGCCTCACACAATGACAATGTAAAATCTTTAATACTGATTTGCATGTATTTTACTCCGGTAATTTCAGACCTCTCTCAGACTCTCACAAAGATGTTGAATGCGGAAAGCCAGATGTTACACGAACGTTAATTGGCTTTGCAAAATTTAAGAACCAATCAAACTTCGTGTGACATCAGGTTTTCCGCATTTGACGTCATCATGAGGAAGGTATGTCATTTAATTATGATCAGTACAAACCGGACGCTTTTTCAACCCTAATATTCAGCCCAACTCTGTAGGTACGTGTCCCAGGGTGCCGATGAAAAATGGGCGCGGTTGAAATCACTTGTTGTTGGAACTTTAAAAAATGATAACCACTTGCTTATAACCGTAATTATAAAAAACTCCTCACCGTACACTAACTATTACGCATGTTTAGCTGAGCTAGCAACTTACTCGCCGTATATCAGTGAGGTATACTGTGTTAGAAATCCATTTTGCAGGATTAAAATCGATTATTCTTTTGATATTCATTATGAAACTAGTTGAAATTTTGGAATTATGCTTAGTTATAGAACTATAACCCTGACATAAATTTAAAAGCGAAGTAAAATATGTTTCAGGAGATATTTTAAATTGTAAATATAGGGTTTTATTAGTACTTTCCGGCAATGTCAGAGAGCGAATAGTATAATTATTGTTTTACAACATTGCCTGCCATAACTTTATAATAATAAAAATATGCAAACGTTTAATATTTTCGCTGTATTACTGGCTGTTTTTGGTAAAATATTGAGCGCAAGTGTACTTGGATATATAAATTCCATAATCCCTTTCTTCGTCAAAATGACGTTTTTAAGCTAAGCCAATCAGAATGCTATAGCCATGTCGGATTGCAAACACGACCAGGGCTCTTTCAATTTAAGTATGCTAACCTTTTACAATGGGGGAGGATGCTTTAAATAACCTGAGACAAAGAACATTTGAAAAGAGCATATCAAATACTCCTGTCTCCCCTCGATAGAGTCAAACTTTTCGAAGGAAATTTCCTTAAAAGTGAGAAGGCTGAACACGACAACAGCAAATGTGCTTACGGAATTTATTGTACAAGTACAAAAATAGAATACAAAGATAATTCTAATCCAGTACTGCATTTAATTAAGTTCGGTCTATATACAGTGTAATTTATACCTATAGTCCAGACAACTGACTTAAAAAAGCGGGGACTTTTACGTCAAACGAGATTACTTTTTTAATGCCAAAATATACATTTACTCAATTGAGTACAGTAGAAACACAAAAGAAAAAAATATTTGCACATCAGAATCCCTGTAGAAATGTTACTTGTGTCTTATCTTACTAATCTTACGAAATGAAACTGAGTACATTAAAGTGACTGTAATGTTTAATTAAACGTGTACCAGTAATAAAGACTGTGTACTGAATGCTGCAAATTTCTGCCATAAAAATTACACGAAAATAATTCAAAATGGTGTGACCAACCAAATGCATATCTTTGTTAAACTGTTGTTAACTTTTTTAGAACAATGCATGTTAATGCGAGAAATCATTGAACACAGAAGTGTGGTCTAAATGTTTGCAGAGAAACGCAGATAATCCCTGCTTTAATCAAGTCCGTTGACCGTTATCAGCCATAACTTTTTGGCTTTCGTCAATTTCATTTAATATCTACATTATATTTATATGATACCACATATTTGTCTAATATTCAATAATTTAGTGAATTTACTACCAATTTACTACCTAACTATTTTTTGATTGATATAATTACGAAAGTAATTAAGTAAAAATTACGCAGATAATTATAAAATCTATAGGCGTGGGATTTAACCATTTATTAAGTTATTATCAAGGCCGCACAGAAGAGGGCAGGGGGTAGGACAAAAACGGCAATCTTCTCCGGGCACCAAGCTGATAGGGGGCCACCCAGGCCATGCATTAGGTATCGCAGGGATATCATTAAACAATTCTTGGAAATATGCATAGTTCTCGTTGGCAGGTGGGGGGTTTATAGTTTAATTTCGAGGTGCATGCATGGCTATTGATTTTCCTGCATTCTGATTGGTCAAGATTCACTGTCTCTGAAGTAATAGTCACTTGTAACCACCTCGGCGACTAATTGCTAAATAGAATAAACAATATACTGTATTTAATATGGTGAAAATTTCACCCAAAACCATAAGGAAATCGCTTGTGCTGCACCCCAAGTATCAGAATTTCGGGGAGTATGACCCCACCCTTTCGATTGCTTTATTATCCCCCAAGCTTTAAGATACCTTACGAACACCACTCAAGCTTCAGGCGATACATTAAGTCATTATTGAACGGGCGGCATCACAGTGGAGCTATGTTACAGGAACTAGCTACGCCATTTTATTCTGATGCATTTTTCTTGCGAGACTTTTGCCCCGGGCCCCTAACATTCTCTGTGCGGCCCTGGTTTTAATTGTGATACGCGGGGACTATTTTGGTAATATATTTCCGAAAAGGCGAATACAATCAATCGGATAGATTTTGGATATAGTATGGTTTATCCGCAGATTATAAGGTTAAATTACTATCGGATATCATCGCTAATCTTATCGCACGTCGGATATTATCTTCTGATCTCCTCAAGGGAAATCCAGGGTGGTTTACCACATGCCTGATATTTTCATCGCAGTGACTCCAATGCTACACAAAGCTCTCTCTCGGAATTGGGCTTTTAGGAGCATGGTCGGTGAGAAAATCTGGTAATTCTGACAAATTATCGTTTTCTGTGCCGAGGCTGACGAGACTGCTCGAGTCAGTTTCTTTTCTTGGTCGACCGTTGTGATAAAATGATCTCTCAGTGAAGTCTAATGTGAGATATCCTTCAAGGTTTTCGACAATAGACAGGAAGGTAGGCCTATTTCTAGGTTTTTGTTGCCAGCAGAGCAACATTATTTCCAACCTGAGAAAATATTTGGTAAAGTAAATTATATTTAAAGTGATTAATGGACTTTTGCATAATAGACCAACAAAAACGATCTAGGCAACAAAAAGAAAATTGAAAGAGCACACCTAATTTGCAAAAAGTGCAATAGGCATTAAGTAAAAAAAAGGTTAAGGGTTATTGTGAAAGTTAAAGTGACGAAAGTGAATGATGGAGTGATAAAAGTAGAGAAACCCGACGAGAGGTGACTTCGGTCGACTTAAAAATCGTTTCTCCTGAGCTATTTTTTTAACACAATCAGAAATTCTGTCGTTGAATAAATTCGCTCAAATCGAATCAGTCATAATACTTACAACTTTCTTGGATACGATTCAGGAATATCCATAATATTTCCGTCCAGAACAAACTTCATTACTTCCTCATTGGATTTTCCTTGATACGGCTGTTCGGCTAACGTCGCCATTTCCCAGAGAACTACGCCATATGACCTGATCAATAAAGATTAATTCATGACTTGTTTTGATTAGTTGCCTGTTTTTTACATCAGCTTTTTAATGCGATCAAATAGTCGTTTGGTGAACAACAAGCTGTTTTTGCACTTGAGACAATCACGAAATGCATGCGTGAAGAATATGTAAAAATTGACAACTTCGCATAGCTATATTTTCCGTACGTTGGCTTAATATATAGCCAGGCAGATACTGTATGGGTTCATTGGCTTGTCCGCAAAGGTTTAGTAACTTTGCTTACCAAACATCAGAAGCACTGCAAAATACTCCATCTCTCAAAGACTCTGGAGACATCCAGCGAACTGGCAAAAAACCTGGAAAATTTTGATCACAATTAACCATGTCCATGTAACTCCAGAATTACATGTACTGCAGTTAGGAAATTAACGAAGAGTATTATATTACATTGATCAAAATAAAAATAAAAATAAAAAAATCCACGCGGATATGTGTAAATGCAATATTCCAGATAACTGACTTGTTGTGGTTGTTAAGAACTGTTGGTCGAAATTTGCTTTTTACTTTAAAAAATCATACCTTTAGTGCCTTTTCGATAGTAATCTGTTTCGTATACATCTCGTGCTAGTCCAAAATCTTGAAACACAAGAATATGAAAATAAAAGCAGGAAATAATACACTTTACTTTTTTCTTGCGGTCCAAATTAATATTTTAGCGTTTTCTGCAATCTGATTGGCTACGCGAGCGGTCCGTATGAGGCCGTACGGACCGCGCGAGATTTAAAAGCACAGATCCAACGCTAAAATACGAATTCTGACCGCAAGAAAAAAATAAATCTATTATTTACTAGTCGGTCTGTATAAGGAAATATTTCGTTGAAAACGATATAACAGACTAGCTCACCTCCAATTTTGCAGGTTTGATTGCCTGATACCATACAATTCCTTGCAGCAAGATCTCTAAATGAACATGGAATAAAAAACACATCGTGAAAGGAACTTTACTTTATGAATAGAAAATATTTTTCATTCATTCTTTTTACACCTCCTTCTGTACATAAAATATTCGATTAGTTATTGCATATGTTGAAGCTTTAGACGAATGCTTTCAGATAATTGAGACTATAAGCATGCAATATTTATAACTAGGGCCAAAATGTGATCGCATCTTTAGCATTTACAATCCGCATTAGCTAGTAATCCCTAGTTAGCGCATGTCTGTTATTCAATGCGAACTCGGCGCTCGGCGCTATCTTAGCAAGATGATGCCACTGATCTCAATATACAAAGCCACTCCTCGCTACCTTAGCAAGATGATGCTCTGATCTCAATATACAGTTAAACCTTACATAGCTGCCGTCTATGTTCACCAAGCTGTGGCTTCACTTGGTGCGCGATTTAGATTCACTCATATCGAAAATATTATATCAAGTATATGAACTATATATGGTACTCATATTGTGCACATTCAGAGAGATAAAACGTCCGTTTTATCAATACCTTAAGTGTAATCATAAAAAGTACACCATGTAATTGTGTAGCTTGTTAAAAACTGTATACAAAACCAGATGTATGCATTTTACCTGTGAACAAACTTTCTATCAGCCAAATACGCCATTCCATCCGCAATCTCAGCGGCCATTTGAAACAGTTCAACATTTGTCGGCGGCGGAAGAGAGCAATCTTCCTCTGAATCCTGAATGTGATAAAATAGTCGTGACATGTCACACTTTTGACCGACGAAGTGCAAACACAAAAGCTCGTCAAATGTGAAATATATTCGCTACAGTATTTGCCTACCACAAATCGCATGTACAGCGGCGTAACTAGAACGATAATTGGGGGAGGAGTGCTACAACAGCTTACAATAGCAATCCGTCGGGCAGAACTGAATGTATGAAAATTCACCAAATCTCCCCCCCCCCCCAATTACCGTTCTTGTTACGCCCCTGCGCATTTTGTTAAATAATGAGGAATGGCGTTAAAAAAGTTAAAATAATTTTCTCACCGGTCTGCGTTTCCGCAGAAAACTTTTCAGGTCTCCATTTTCCATCAGTTCCATGATCACTAGGACTGGATCACCGGCAGAAACCACTCCAAGTAACCGCAATACATGATTGCAATTAAATGCTCTATAGTGAAGTAAGATTAATAATAATTAAGTTGTTAAATAATTAAATTCAATAAGTTAAAGAATTGTTAACATCAATAACATCACAATGGAATGAAAGGTACTCGCGTCGATGAGTATAAATTTGTGGAATTTTTGTCATTAATTTACACCGTACGCAAGTCATAGTTTCAATGTAACGGTCAATGCAAAGCCAAACCTACTTCATAATCGAAGCTTCTTTCAAAAATTCAACTTTGTCTCGAATGGAACTGGTATCACTTACAGTCTAAAGAAACGAGAGCAAATCCAATATGTAGGTTACTCAACTCGACTGTTCTAAATTAAACTAAAGAAAATTTGCGAATAGTTCGCTATGGAACCATTTCACTGTTAGTGGAACTCCAGCAAATGACACCTTAAGGCTTTGTCACACGGTGCAATTTTTCTTGCAACTGGCAATGCAATTCTTCTTTCGAGAGATGTAAATTTGGCAACTACCGAACTTTTGTCTTTATTACAATCCATGGCGTCTCTTATAATTACATTTTGAAGACTCTTCACTAATTTACATCCCTCAAAGTACAATGGCGTTTGCAAGAAAAATTGCACCGTGTAACATGGCCTTTACAGTTATTCTAAAGATGCTTTTTATACCTTAACTCATGAATTAAACTAAAGGAAAATGGGATAGACCACTCAGTGTGGTTGGGATTAAAGAAAGAGTGTTGGAAGAGTCTGTGCTCTCCTATATTTTCTTTATTGAATTAACTTTCATCTAAACACATTTTGTGAAAAGTTAAACGAATCGACTCCAAACATACCTTGACGGCAACTTTGCAAGAATGAACGCCAGGTAATATTCCAACAGCTTCCCCTTCCCATACCATTCCGAATGAACCATTGCCAAGTTCACGTATTAGAGTGACATCACCGCGTGGCACTTCCCATTCATCCGGAACATATACTAATATTTGAGGAGGGAAAAGGCTTTTCAAACAAACGGTAGTATTTTGATCGGGAAATTACGTTCGTTTAAGACGTCGCACTTTTCATGTGCCAAATCAAATGCTTTTTTCTTACCGTCCGAGCAGTTCCAGTATTCCGGATTAGTTGAAGAAAAAAGAACTCCGGCTCCATGTTTACTCTTCTTGTGCCTAAAATGAAAACAAATATGTCCACAGTTGCTTCCAGTGTACTTTACCAAAGAAACAAGTATTGTCTTGGAAAATCCTAACATTGCGATGTTTTGGTGTACTAATGAAAACAGCAGGGGTGACCCGTGTGTTCGAAATTTACGGTTTCTTTAAAAATCATGAAAATGAATGGCAGGCATGAGCGCAATATGAAATATGAACATCGTAGAGTATGACTCTGTACTTGATGTTAAGTGCCAAATTAATTGGATGTTTCATTATCATAATATACCCACTTCAAGGTACCTTAAACATTAAAAGTACATCAAAGATTCATGAGGCCGGAAATTGATGTAATGCGCAAAATTGATGTTATGCGCAAAATTTTTTTGGTACATTTACAGTAAAGGTTCAAAAAAGGCCAGTTTATTCACAGCATCGTGTTTATTGTGAACGCCAAGTATGCGAAAATACTTTCAATAATAATTCGTAGGGGGAGGGGGGAGGAGTTGCAGACCAGTTGCCAAACATCGGTTGTGATACAACCCGAAGTTGTCAGGGATATTAGAATGTTTGTTTGTTCATAGAATTATAAAAATGAGACGATTAGCAGAGTGTCAGAGCCGCAGAACACTCGAAAGTTTTAACTACACTAAAATACTTATTCATTACCGATTTTCGTACATAATATTTCCTAAATTTACCCAAACGTGAACTCCTCTGCACCACCTCTGCAGCAGGCCGAAGATGCAGTACGCATCCCCCCCCGGCAACTCCTAGTAAATCCAACCCTGACGAACAAGCTCAACGGTCAACATACCTTTTTACTAACGAAAACGTAAGAACAACAAAAACTACAAGAGCAAACAGAATGGCGCCAACGCTGACACCAACAACAGTCACAAAGTTGGCGTCTTCTTTTTGAGCTTCAATTCCTGAAACGACGATAAAGTTTGACACAAACAATCATTTTTTTATTCAAAACAAATGACAGGTTTATTACTTGCATTTTATGGAGTATCTGTTCTTATCTGTTCTTAGAACTGGTTTAAGTTTTGGAATAGTTAACGTAGTCAGGAAAAGGCCAGTTTTGTGGGTGAACAGTACTTCTGAAAATGTTGATTTGAAAATGAAGGAACTATACGTTATTGATAATAAATTTATCTCGGGTCTCGGGAATGTTTCTTTCTTTTCTAAAAGCGACGAAGTTGTTATACGTTCAACCATTTATTCCCGGGCAACATAGAGAGATCAAAGTAGATTTAATATGGCCTTCCATTCCGTTTTTTTTTACCAAAGCAAAAGAGCATCCAGATTTGAGGCTTTGAGCCCCATTCACATTGTGCACAATTTTTAGGTTTTTAACGGATGAAGTTAAAATGGTGCAGTAAAAATCAGTATTATGTTAGTATTATTAAGATAAAGATTGAGACGGGATCAGAGCAGTATCAGAGTTCAGTTACCCACTTACCCGGTGGTGTGATTTTTTCATCAATTCTAAAGTTGACCTGGTTACTCCACGAACCATTTCCAACAGGTGTTATAGCCCTTACTTTTGCTGTGTAATCGCCAAATGAAGCTCCTTTTTTAATATACTCGGCATCGATCACACACTGTTGATCATCAACCTAGATACGAACGGAAAGCATTTTCATCAGAAACTACAAATTAATCGTGTTATTCAAATACATCACACGGTCATAAATAATGATAAAATATGAATTGATTGAAAAGTTTTTATTGGCATACCGTTTCATTTCCCTTGATTGGTTTATACTGAATCCAGACATCGTATCTTAAGACCTTCCCGTTCGGTCTATCAGGAGCCTTCCATGTTAACGTAAACTGTTGAAAAGCAAAAGACAAGTTAAGCACCAGGATTTGAAGTTTTGAACGACACTGCATGCAATAATAATACTCGAAACTCGTTTGTTTTTGTTACATCGTAACGTTCTATAACTTCACCTGTTTAGAATCGTTATATGCGTCAAACGTTAGAGTATCACCAACATCATCCGCCGTGTCTAATGTCATGAAAAAAGGAGATTTACATATTATACCTCTCCTATTTAGCTTGCAAGCGCAGTGCGTGATGGTAGTTGATTGTCAAAGTCAATCGTTCAGGGGCGATTTCGAATAAGGTTCAATTTCGTGTTAATAGGATTATTATCCAAATATATTTCCCTTGTAAGAGGTTTTTATGCATGCATGTTCTAAGCTTGTTCTAATTTTCTGCCTTATTCCTACGGTAAAACTAGAAACCATACAATTTAGGGAATCTAGAGCAGGACAGTTGTCTGGTAGCGAAGATAGATACTATCTTTTAAAGCACCGACTGGATTCGATTCTTTCGGAAAGATAAAGTAATGTTAGGGTTCTATGTATGTTAGAGAGACTCCAAGGTCCACAGCACGACCGGTGTCAATTTAAACGTAAAACACACGATAATGATAACGCTAAGTGGAGAACAACCAACGCTGTCTAGGATATATTCCTGGGACTCAAAATTATTCGTTATATTCTAGCATAGGGAATGTCGGTTTTTATTGATAAAGCAGTAGTGCAGTAGCTTAAGTCCTGCCTTAATTCCTGCCCCTATATACATTGCAATTAAGTCAACAGCCTAATATAAAACATCCATGCATCCAAAGTGAATTGGATCCGACAAAATTGGATCGTGTGAAAAGACCTTTTAAGATCCTATTATTTATAAGAGTCTTCGTAAGGAAGATTTACCGCTCTTTCCAGTTCTTCCAAGGACAGTTGAACATTGCGTGACATATCCTCTGTTTTCTCCACAACCAGCTCCAGAATTGCACGCACATACCTGAACATTAGAAATATATGAATGAAGTTTCACGATGCATTACTCATTTGCCGTAGCCCATATAAGGCTGGTTTCAATGGTTAATTATTACTCATTACTCATTTGCCGTATCGAACAGAAAAGTTTATGTTATCCATGTGTTCTCCACAAAGCTAATTGCCTTAAGCACAAAAGAATTAAACGATACTGTCTGATCCGGAGGATAATTTTCCTCTTTTATATGGACTGGAAACCAGCCCATATAAAAACAATAGGTTTTTTAGCAGATCCTTTATATTGATTCTAAAACTCGTTTTAAATCTAGTTTTATTTAAATAACAGCGGGATCCTATTTTATAGCTGGAAGAAAAGCAAGAATAGTGAGTCTAATTCAAAGACTTTCTTTCGCAAAGCACTACAACAAAAAAATATTAAATTGGAGATCATTTTTTTTGGTACTGAATTCATTCTTAACTTACCTCAACACTGTATTCGGTGAAATATTTCAATCCCTCTAAAATAATAGTCTGTTGGGTGGTATTCAGTATAACAAGAGGGGCAGTGGTTGTGGATAACACCGACGTAGGTGTCGTGGAAATTGATGTTGATAATTCTTGTGTATTTGGTCGCTGGGTTGAACATGAAGAATTCTAAAAATATTGATAATATTCAGATTAAGAAATATGGCTCTCGCGAGGTTTTATGCATTTTTTTAAGTAATCTGCAGATGGTTTTCAAATAGGTTGGATCAAAACGAGGCTTTGAACAGTTCATTAACATGCGTTATGACGTCACGTTAACACCATCAACGACGTCATGCAGTTGCACGTGATTGCTCACATAAATACATTGTAAACTCTAATACTGCAACACTAAAAAGAGTATAGTTCTTGGGTTATTTTGACGTGGAAAATATTAGGCGATAATATTGATAGAAGTATTTTTTTTAAATAGTTTTAGTCTTTATTTTGATCACGTTTGTAATGCATACCTTACTGTAATTACCACAAGGCCGAGGAGTTGTAGTGATTTTATTGTTGTTTGTATCATTTTTTTTAAAGACTTCTTGCAAAATTTTATCCTGAAATTCTTTCGCAAACAACGCTTCCTTTAGATCAAGACTTTGTTTTTCATCTTTCTCGTTATCACAGTTGCAGGTTAAATTGACGGGGCAAGTTTGGTTTCCTGACGTCACTAAAACATAATAAAGGTATTGTTTACCGATAAGTCTACCCTAAAGGCCCTGTTACACGGTAAATTTTTCTTGCAACTTGCAATGCAATGTAAATTTGGCAACTACCTAAATTTTGTCTTTATTACACTCCATGGCGTTTCTTACACTAACATTTTGAAGCCTCTTCACTAATTTAGAACTCTCAAAAGTAGAATTGCATTGCAAGTTGCAAGAAAAATTGCACCGTGTAACATGGGCTTAACTCTCACAAGATATTTCACCCCGCGAAATGAAGAGTAATTAATCTAAAAGTATATAAAAATATAAAAAATATTTAAAAAAATAAAATAATTAATTTAAAAATATATATAATAAAGGACTTAAGGTGTATTGAATTTAAAATTAATCCGTGCGTTAATAGTTTATAGCTCTGAATGACGTATTATGCGCCCCGTATAAATTTACTGGAGTCCATTACTGGATTTTTATTGAGCCAAGTGCAATGAAGTACTCACATTTATCTTTTACTTTCTTCTTCTTATAGAAATTGATAGACGAGTCTATATTTTGACACCAATCAACATTAATATTTAAATTCCACAAATATGATGATGATGAACTTTCCTTATATTTCACAAGATAATGCGTTATCTCGCCGTTAGGAAAGAAAGGCTCCCTCCACTTCACTTGCAACGAGGATGAAGATAAATAACTAACCTCGTGACTACGAGGCACAGATGGTTCTAAAACACGATAAAACTACTTTAGTATATTTACACACAACGCCAACGGTGATGCTAATTTACACAGAAAATTATGGCCACCGATTGGTCAAGCGATCTCAAATCAATTCCCGAAAATATAATTTGAAAATGTTGACGAGTAAATTTGTCAAAGTGGCATAGAAAGAAATATTTTTTAATCATCTATGTATGTTGCAGAATTCTTTCGCTTTAAATAACCATTTTAATCGAAATATCTATAGACATTTGTTTTTGCAGTTCAGTTTGTAGAAATCTTTGAATCGAATTGAGAATTTTCAAGAGGGATTTATCCTGTAATTATATGCAATTTTAAGCTCGTGCCAGGCGGCGGATTACAGGGTTGAGCCTGTTTTCCACTAAGCGGAATTTTGTGCGCGGAGCGGAATTTTTCTTTGTTTTTCTCACATTAGTTCTGGTCATATTAGGTTATATTAATGTACCCACTTGTTTGCCTTGTTTTGAAATAAGTGATGTAACTCTTGACACCAGTTCCCCCGATCACAATGGCTTTTACACGAAATGCGTACAGCGTGTGCGCCTTCAGTCCATACACAGTCCCTGAGATGATCGGTCTGGAAATAAAATAAGTGATAAACGTAAAGTTTGGCGCCACTCATATACATGTACGATATGCATTTCTGCATGCGCCAGACATATATGAAACGTGGATTTAATTAGACGCAATCTTAAGCTTTCAATGAAATGACAAGTGAAACAGAAAGAATACCGGACGCACTTTATAAACCCGTAACGCGCCGCTCGTAGAAGCTTTGGTAATCCAAACTCTTTGAGGGGGGGGGGGTCGTTTGTTGAAAAATAAATAAGACTGATAATCGAATAATAAGACTGATAATCGAATAGGTTTTAAATGAGTGGCAAGAGCATTGCACCGGCGTCGCAAAAACGTAGGTTTGATTCCTGCCGGAGGACCTATAGTTGACTCATTTTTCCATCAACTGTTCCTGGCTTGAATTTGAAGTGTGTATAATTCCACTCAAAATTAAGACCCTTTAAAACCTCTAGAATTTACCTGCATCGAGTGAAGTGCCAAAAATCATAATTGATAATCGAATAATAAGACTGATAATCGAATAATATGACTGATAATGGAATGAAATAAACCTAGTATGAATAAACCGAAGAACTGATCTTTTAAAACAATAGTTGACATAGCTTACAAATCGTTAATTTTCAGGAAAAATGTATATATGTTGAAAATGCGAGTTACTAGTTTTAAAATGGATCGGATATCTAGTTTCTATCCTTGGTGTAGTTTAAATTATATTCAGAATTTTTTCTACATTTTTTAAAATTTCGGTTTTACTTTTCGTTTAAAAAAAAACAACTTATAAATACAGGAATACTTGAAATTTGGTGCAAACCTTCTTTTTGAAGAGACGTCTTGACGTTCCCACCTACGAAATATTGAGAAATATTATTAATAATCGGCTTAGAACACATCAACACGAGGGTACATATCTAAGATAAGTTCAGAACTTCATATAATTACGCTAATATATACGAACATTTGCCCAAATGCAACGAATTGAAAAAGTAGCGATGTTTCCACAAGATCCAACTAAACTTACACGTGATCTGAGTTGCAGGCGTCGATATCATCATACTCATTGAGATCAGTACTTGTTCTAAACGTATGAAATTAAAAAAAATATATTTATATTTTAACTGAAAATATTATTACAAATACTACATAACTCTTGTTCTACATGAAATATCTTTAAAGGTGGCATTCAGTGATGTTATAACGAACGCTTCGCTTACATTTTTAATTACTATGTTTTTAAAATATAAAAATAGTCAGAATATTCAACACGATCTATATTCAGCACTCTCTAGTATTTCGGTAGTATTTCGTAAAACATAATATATTTTTGTTGGCAAAAGATCTAAATGAATACGAGTTAATGCTGAGAAAAAAGAAACATGCTAAATTTCAGCAATTTTAAACTAAAGTAGCCTACCCTAGCAGAATTGATGCGTGGAAACCATTGTCACCCCCCCCCCAAAGGAACGAAACTAGAAAGATAATTAGGGGGTGTTCTCAGAACTGAATATATGACTAACACCCTCTCCCCTCCTCTCCGCAATTATCGTCCTGGTCCGGCCCTGCAACCCCCTTTAAAAACTCAACTCACGTTTCTCTATACCAAACAGAATAGAGTATAAGATTTCGATAGTCTTCAACTTTGTTTGGCCAAGAAACTTTCACACAAAGCCCGGGTTTGAAACACTTTTGACGTCCTGTTATTGTTAAATTAACGAAGTTGACATCACCTAAAACAGAGAAAGCAAGAATGAATTATACCAAACCACCCTAAAATCGTAGTGCATTTTAGGATTGTGCTGGGAAAGACAGAAATCTATATTGTTAAAGGAAGAAGCTGGAAATAACTGAAAAGGCGGATGGAGGGGCAGGGCAGACGCCCCCCCCCCCCACCAAAATTTTACAAAAAAGGAATTGATGAAATATTTTCATATCATTGTGAAAACTAGAAAGCAGAAAACAAACTTACAATTTCTGGCATTTCCGTTTGTTGTCTCAGATATATCAACATTCGGATCGCTTTTATTCCATTTTAAAACGTCCTCAACCAATGGATAAATATTTTTAAGGCATAATCGTGGATTTAGCTGCACAAACATTCCATTAATCGTCTTCGGATTTCTGTTATTTATCTTAAAATTTGGATGAAATTCCCAAAGTGACTCCAGGTTAGGATTGTCGAATATCGCCAATGCATAACTAGAAGAAAATTTAAAGGCAAAATGCATCGTATTGTGAGCAAAGTTTTCGTATTTTACAAGTAATAGTCAGCAGTGTTGCTGTCGACAGCGACAAAATGTCCCTCGCCAGTCGCAACAGGAATTATATTCATTGGAATATCAAATAAAATATACACTCGTTATTTGAGGTGTGCATCGGATTGGATTAGACAGTTCGAGTCCGACAAATGAATGACTATATTCAATACGAATCCAATCTGATCGGAATTTGAATAAAACATTCTGATGCAACTCGAAGTAATTTTGAAATTAAATATTAGCATTATAAAATTACTGGAAGCTGATTGGTTAGATGCTGTAAGTCGGTTCGTTCTGAAAAGACCAGGGAAATATTTTTAATACTGACCTCGCATTGGTAGTTTTAAAAAGTAATATGTGTCATATATGATGCAAAGAATGGGCGCGAAAAATACTAACCCCTTAGATGAGAAACCTGAGAAATTATCCCGCAGGGTAATTTTCCTCAAATTTTTAAAGAAATTCAGTGATATCAACGGAGTAGATTGTCGTACAACCACATGCCCTCTGATTTCTTCCAGACTACCAAGATGGTCCGTTAAAACTTGAGCAATATTTGTACCGCCTGCATGATCAAAGAATAAACATATTTTAACACAACGTCAGAAGATTACAGTATATTCCTGCTGCGATATTTGGTACCATTTTCTTCTTTTGAAGAATGTGAACGAGTAAAGAATGTACGGGTGTTAAAATAAGGCAATGATACATCAGAACATTCATGGCTATCCGCTCGTTTCAATCCACGAAAAAACGAAAATGACATCAAAAAATGTAAACGGGTCCTCGTACCATCGTTTATCGTTACATATCTTCGAGAGAAAATTTTGTTTACAGTTTATACTAATTTTAAAATATCTCATAGCACAATATAAATATATAATAAGATAAATTAAGAACGAAAAAGACTTGTTGCGAAAAATGCTGCAAAATACGGTGACGTACGTAATACACACAGATATATAGTTATGCAGACAAAGTGATATTTCTGTATGCTTCGTAACTGATAAAAAGTGAGGCGTAATTCTCATCATGATTTTGAATGATTGCATTTACCTCTAACGTTCTGCATTTCGATCGCCACGTTTCCCGAATAAATCGTGCATCCCTTGAGTTTGGCAGAGTCTGACAATGACAATATATTTATTCCCCTCTTGAATTTTTCTGGTCGACAAGCTACAAAGACATATTGCATTTAGAGATATTATTGTGTCAACGTTACTTTCTGCAGTTTTTATGTTACTTTATGTTATATTATTTACTACGAGTACAAGACTCAAGAACGGCGCCAAACGCCGGTTTTTTCTTACGCTATCTGACGAAACTCGTCGTCGTTGGGCTTCCGAGTAGCTCGACGACTTCGAGTTTCGTCAGATATAACGTAGGCAAACAACACGCAAGAATGACGAAGCATGACGAAGCGAATGACGAAGTCGTACAGGTAGTCACTGCTAAAGCTCCCTGTTATCGTGCTGTTGAAACCTTGTAACGTCATAATTCGTATCCGTAGTCTTCGTGTCGCTCATGCTGCGTTACTGCGCATAGCTTAGCACGTGACTAGCGGCATTTACACCCCCTTCCCCGAAATAATATTGAAAGTAAACTTCTCTTACGTGCTTGAAAAAGACACCGTGAAAAGAAAGGAATAATTGAAGACCTATACGGGAGTTTTGGACGTTTGCAACTCTGTTTACAACTGCAAATCTCTGATTTTCACGTCCTGTGTAGACATGCAAGTGGCGTGGCCAGCCTGATGATTTTGTCCCGCTATGTAAATTTCGAGTTAAATAATTGTTCATGTCTTTAGAAATTTATTGTTTTCACAGTAAATGAACACCAAAATATTAGCATAGCGGGACAAATCGTCAGGCTGGCTACGCTACTGCGTGTAGAACGTCCCTACATGCCTTATTGAAGAGCGAAATACTAACTTCTTGGGCAGTTATCTTCAGGACATTTTTCACAGGTGGCTCTCTTCGGGTTCCTCGTGTAGCCAGCGGGACATTCCTTATAACATTTACCATTCAACACGAAAGGAATTGCGAAAGGACATCTTCTTTTGCAGATAAAATTTTCGAGCTGCAGAAACACAAAATTTTTAATATATTTTATTACGCATATTTTAATACCTTTACATTTAATACGTTTTGTTGCAAATCATCAGCGGGCGGAATGCTGGCTTTTTCTGCAATCTTGCAAAAATCAACACCAGTTTTGCCAAGAAAGGAACTATTTCAGTCGGCTCGAAAAAAATTGGTGATTGTATAAGGGGAAAGTCGGCCAGTAAAGGATTCGCAATGCGTTTATATGACTCTAGAAGGAAATGACACAGTTTCTTATATTTTGACATGTGTTATATCTTCGTGTGTTTATACATGTGTGAAACGTAATATAAAGAAGATTGGTTTGTCAATGAATACCTCTTTAAATCCACGTGGACAAGACCGGGTACAAGAACCATTTTCCAAGCGTAAATGTTGGCAAGCATGACAATGATCTGCAGAGAAAGCTCGAGTACACCCACCAAGACATTCCTTATCACAACATTTCTCTTGACTACCATCCTCACATCCACTTGATCCACATTTTGAAATACAGACTATGAGCAAAAATATGTGGGTAAGTTCGCACAGGTCCAAACCAGCAGTTTGACAATGAGCCAATTTCACACGAGGGCCCGGAGGGAGGGGGGAGACTATTAAGAAATTAGTTTTTTAACAATGATTTCTTTTGAAAACCTTGTTTTCAAGTAGTCCCAGTTGATGAAAACAGGACTAAACAAGGTCGTGTTTCACCGACAGAGACAATCAATTGGCAGCAACAAACAGAGCATAAGGTTTGCAGAGAGGCAATTGTTTGACATTGAGCCATTATACAGCGCCAGGAGATAAACATATTATGGGAAATCGGGTTGCGGAATGCATGCAAGGATTGATCTAATGTAATTATGCAACTATAAACATGCTTTGACATTTGATAAAAAAAATAGACTTTGACATTGAACAGCAAGCTAAGATCACCCATCATAAAGGTAAATAAGGACAATTTTTGCTGAAATCATTCGCCTGCTTTGTGATATTTATACAACTACATAATGCTAGCTAATTATTCTATGTATGTAACAAAGAAAAACACAATGGGACGAAGTTTAACCGCGGATTTTAAGCCAAAACTCTCTCGAACGTAAGAGCCTTTTCCACCTCCTTTTTTGTTTGACAATGCCAATTAGCGTTACGTACAGCGGTGGGAATGTCGGCTAGGACCTTATTCGTATTGAAAGTACCGTAGTCTGTATACACTGCGCGCGTTCTGAGTTCTATTTTAATGGTATTTTACTTCATTTCTTGTGTTTTGTTTGAAACCTTCAAAATGAAGAACTTAGGCCTGTTTCAGACGTTGAACTTTCCATGTGCCAAATCGTATGCGAATTAAGCTAAAATTTACATTGGCACATCTCATTGAAGAGTTTGACGCGTCTAAGGGCTGCTTTCCACTGTCGCGTTTTTTGCACGTACGTACACGCACGTAAAAGCTTTTACACGCACGTTTTTTGAGCTTTTACGTGCGTGTATACGTACGTGCAAAAAACGCGACAGTGGAAAGCAGCCCTAAAACGAGCCTTAACCATGTTTGATAGATAAGCTGAATAACTGGCGTATTTGGCAAACTGTTATAACAGCCTCTTGCCTTCTTGGTGGATAGTTTCTCTTTTTTTTTTTCTTTTTGCGGAACTAATGAAGATATGCATGACCTCATCATTTAACTAATTTATAAACGATGAATTTAACCGCAGAGTGTGTTACTGTGGGTTGTTGTGACGCTGTCGGAAGCATTTCGGAACTATATCTTGCAAGAGCCGCTTGTTTTTAACAAAGAAAGCCCAAAGGCTCAAATTAAGTTGTACGACGCACGTGTCTTGACCTGCGTGCGTCGTACACCTTTGGGATTCCTATGATTTTTAACGAATTCAATCGCAATAAGCGCTACCTGCGATGGATTATTATAAATTATATCTAGTTGCAATGAACTTAATTTAGAGGACACCGAAAACCATTAGCATTTATATTAATAAAACTGGATTATTAGACAGCGTTCATATTGAGTGCCCGGCACTGGTGCCCGTCACGCCTAAAGGGCAAAGGCTATGTTACACGGTGCAATTTTTCTTGCAACTTGCAATGCAATTCTACTTTAAAGACATATAAATTAGTAAAGAGTCTTCAAAATGTAAGTGTAAGAAACGCCAATGAAGGCAGAAGTTTGGTAGTCGCCAAATTTACATCTCTTAAAAGAAGAATTGCATTGCAAGTTGCAGGAAATATTGCACCGTGTAACAGGCCCTTAAGTTGAATATGACGCTTCACGCTTCTAAATGAATTTGAGCATGGGCACGGGCACTACCTCCTGAGGTAGTACTTAACAAGGGCACTGTGCTCAGCATGTTTCATGAACCAGTTTTGAATTCGGACACTTCAGAAACCAATTATTGGTACTGGGCTAAGTATTCTTTTTTTTCATGCAATTTCTCTTTTTTCTACACTTTTCCCGCTCTTATCTGAACTATATGCAGATCAGTGAATATATCCAGCCAATCAGAACATTTGAAGCATTGATTCTGAACGCAACCAAAATGGCGACGTGTAAATGTGCTTTTTGAAAGTTTTCGTTCATTATATTTGCTGCTAGATCTTTATTTACGTGGAGCATGCTACAGACTAAATATTAACGGGAAAAGGCGGGCAAGCTACCAAACAATGAAGGTAATTTTCAAACTTTATGTCAAACGACTGTTGAAAGAGGACGAAATGAACGCAATTAAACGGAACAAAAGAGTCAGGCTGAGTCCGCAAAGATGCAGTATAATAAAGTCAGCCAAAATTCCTTGCTAAAGCACAAGGTTTGAAAGTTGAATCCAGTCTTTATAGTTTATATCACTATTCTATGACTAGCACAGGGAGTTTGAACTCGGAGTTTTGCTTATTTAATTTTCAAGACAATAATTCTTTAAATAACATATTGTATTTGAAGATATTCCAGAAACGTGCTTTTGAGTTTTGACCCTTGTTCATAATATTATTGAGCTGTGTGCTTGGGTAAATCAAGCTGAGTGCATTCTAAATTTTTAATGCTTTGCATTTTATTCAACCTTATACTGTAAATGTTAAAAAGGGCCATGGCATAGAATGTAGAACACTCAGGTATAATCTTAAAGACTTGTCATAATGTCATTGTGCAATAATTTACAATGTAGCATTCTAAGTCATGGCCATTTTTGCATTACAGCAAAACTATCTAAAAATAGAAAAGAGTTTCCCTAACACCAATATTTAAACTTCCTATGTTTTACAAACACCCTTAGTACAAATGCATTCAGGCAATTCCGCCTACAATGAACCTGAATTTGGAATGTGCACAATTTGAAACTTAGGTCTTGGTATTTTGTTATTTGGTGATTTTCGTGGAAGGAGGGCAAAAGTTTATTTCAGAGGAAGGTAAAACATGGGAATAGTTAATAAAAGCACTTACAATCAACATAAACAAGTTAATAGTGCTTGAAAATCTAATATCTGCTTTCACGATGGATGTCTCAACTGACTGAAAAGGTTAAGGCATGTAAATTACCCCAGTTTTATATGTTAAGCCATTTTCTAACCCTGCTTGAATTTATAAACTGATGAATAAAACCTGGAGTGCTTCAACTCCTAGTGCTCAGATGGAGCTCATCTGTATCTCAAATATTTTATATTTTCAACTTCAAGTATGTTTATATTGTTTATCAGCACTATCATTCAAGCTGTTCCTGTTGCAAAGGCTGCTCATATCGCAAAAACCAAGCATCATTTGATGGTGTGATTACCTTGTGAGCATAATATATGTACTTAACAGGTTGTTGAATTGTATGCTGACAAGATATTCAAGTTAGGATGTTTTATCAAGCTGTTTATCACATGTCAAAACTAATTAATGAGAATAAGCCGGACATCGTAAGAGCATGTCCTAGTGTCCATCAACCTACAGTTGGCTTATTAAAATTATCAGACAAATCGATAAAGACAAAGAGTTAAAAGGTCTCCCAGACAATAAGAATATTTCACACAAATAAGATGACACAACTCTCAAAAATACTCACATTTCTGACACTGTTTTTTATCTCTTCCCCAGCAATACTTGTGACCGGATGATCCATGGCCACTTGGCGTATGACAATTACTTGAGCACTGCGCAAAACAGTCTTTCGAATTTCTCTTTAGACTCAACTCGTATTTTTTAGCCCCTCCGTAATTTCTCAAGGATTGCCATCGTATTTGATCCAAATAGCATAATTTCTCATTGAATTCAATCTTTATTCCGCCTTGTTTGATGACAGTTAAGGAATTCAATCCTAAGTTTCGAAGCCCTTTGTTTTGATAAACGACTAAGGAGTACCCTTCGAAAAGACTATCAACTCTGCCATGTATGACTGCTAAATTTGGGAAAATATCACTCAAGCTTGTATCACCGTTCACGAATGTGACAATTAGATGCCCAGTGATCTCTCGAAGCTCTGGAAACCGCAATTCGTCGCGTAAATGTTTATTTCTGTCATTAAATGTTATCCCCTTGAGATGAACACTTCCAAACACGCTTGTGCAATTTCGCAACTCGTCACAACCGAGGCAATAATATTTCCCTTTTTTCTTATTCAATCTTGTCCCTACTTCTTTTTGTCGTCCCGGGCACACTATAGAGAAATTACAAAAGTCAGAAACGATTCGTTTCAATGTATTCACACCGCCAGACGGGTGTTCTTAATTGCGCGTGGTTTGTATAACTCTGTGTGTGTGATTGTCTCCGATGGAAGAGTTGCATTTCTAATTTCAACCTAGTTGACAATTATCAACTTTTTCAGGTCCAGGCAAATACAGACAAGAACAATACAAGCTAGCACGCCGAGGACATTTTAAAGCGATGCTGCTAAATGTGCAGACAAGATTAATTACAGACACAGCATAATGTTTGATTGTGAATTGCAATTGATGAAACGCGAAAATAAAATTACTTTGAGATGTCTTCTCGTGTACGTATAAGCACCCTGTACATTGCTCCATTTTCTCCCCACTGTTTATTTGCTTACATCTCATTTAAACTTTGTCAAAAGTCAACATGGGGTTTTTGTTTGGGAAGCGATGACAATAAAAGCATCATATGGCTACAGTCATTTTACTCAGACCACCGTGACCGATTGTTTAACTTTGTGACCTACGAAGCTACAAAATACAGTCTTTTTGAACCTCAAAATGTCGATATGTGAAGTCTTCGAAAAGACAATTACTGCCAGCTAAGCTTAATCCCAACTAAATCATATAATGAACGTTTAAATTGCTCGTCTGACCTGTCTTAAATGACCTTCGACGTGCAAGCTATTCGCTGGCGTTGCGAAGAATACACAAAACAAGACACGCGGGTAACATACATAAATATGATACTATATCAGGTAAACAAAAGATCTAGATATAGCCTACCTTTGTATGGAAATCCTGTGGGACTTGCATCTGTCGCTATCTCAAGAAAAATAGCTCCTGCTACGAACATGTAAATACTCGTGTGCCTAACAATCCAGGCAAACATTGCTGCGTTTTAATTGAATCCAACAACGCTTGCGAATTGTAACTTCTAATATTCTAATTGCCTTTATATTGACAGCAAGGGTAGAACAGTTTACCGCATATATTCATCCTAGATCAGCTTTGCCACGGTTAGATTACCGAGAGACGATAATATACATTAGACTGATATTACAGTGGAGCATACTGATTCGTCTGATTGTTCTCAAATATCAATGTACGATTTATATCTGGATTATCTATTAAGAAGCAAAGCGCGTGGACGAAGAGGAACTCCACGCGTGTATAGTCGTTCGTTCACGCATGCATTTTTCATTCGCTAATTTCCCGTCACGTTTCTTAGTATACGAGCAATCTTGTGGGCTCAATTATAGCTATAGCTCTATTCTTGCATGTTTGCGGTATATTCTTGTGGTATTCATATTTGATCGAAAAGATATATCAATTCAATATTATCGAGTCTGACGTATGTAGCTTGCAGCAGTGCGGGTGTAATGACGTACACACTCCATAAAAAACTTTCAGCGGATATTTATTGTTAGAGCTGTATAGTGGGGGGTAAGTTCATCGAATTGTTAAAATTTTAAAAAACTTGTCAACTGTGCTATTTTTCCTACTTCGTTTTACACTCAAGGCTGACCAAAAGGAGAGAAATTTCTCGCAGTTGAATCCGATTTCAAGGGTCATAAACTAGGCGAAGTTTTTTAGTGTGTAAGGCCTTTGAGTGAAATAAAAACAACGAGTTTCTTTTCGAGTTGTTGTGAGGCGAAGTGTTTTATGCATCAGTGTAAAGCAAAATTATTTAAAGACTGCCTATATTTAGATTTCACATTTTTCTGATTTCTCTCATGAGAAATGGACCGTTTTACAATTTAATTAAGAACAATTCTGCTAAAATTCCAAAGTTAATTCACAACCACAAAACAAAAAAATTTTATGGCCGCCAAATTTTGTAAACCGCGCGGAATAATTTTTAGTTATTTCGCCACGATAAAATCAGAGCATTGAGTCACAAACCAAACTGATATTTTGATTCTTCCTCAATGATTGAGTGGATCCTGTTGAGAAGCGTGCGCCGATTCAGGAGAGGCAGTAGGATTTTACTCCGCCAGAGTTTATCATAAAAATGAAGATATTATAAGAATGTGAAAATCCTCCTACATGCCTCAACGGGTTATATGTCCAAGATTCTTTAGTTCATATCGGATTTTTGTCAAAATCTAAATGGTATGTGCGTGGTATTCAGACAGTATATGAAATGTTTAAGCAGTTTGAAATTTAAGCCAATATCGCTGGCCTTAAACACCTCAGTTTGCCCTAAAAAGACATTTGGCATTTTTTTTCAAATTTTCGAAAAAGCTAAGAACTTCCGGAATATTTTCCGGAATTAGTCTAATACTCTATACGCTTCTAATGACTTAAATGACATTGAGATTTTCGTTGCCTAATTGATTGAAATTAATACAGATTACAATATGAGTATCATTTCTGACGAACAATAAGTTTCCTTTTTATATATATAAACGAAAAACGAATAACATAATAAAGATTCCGAGAAAAACCAATCTCTTTGTAAGATCCTCCATTATCACCTCATGTTGGAATATGACTCCAAATATTTGCATGCAGCTTATTGACATTACGCAACTCGCATGATATCCCAAAATACATTAAAAATGTTCATGTAAACGAGTAACTGAAGTAACTTATAGGAATAACGTTGAATGGAAATCATGAAGTCACCAGCGATGTCACCAACCCGTGCATGGGAGTATAGATTAATTTCTGGTTTGCATATTCAAATGACAACTGAACTTTTTTTCGTTTAATTTGGAATATGTAAACCCTGTATAATCGGTCATAAGCTGGCTATACACCTCATGCACTTATAATTAAACTTTCAACCCCAATAGGCATCGGTAATGTATGCAAGGTTGCCTAGAATAAAAACTAAACGGAAACTCGATATTGTGAGCTTAGGATGAGCGAAGTCAACGAACGTGATGAAAATTTTAATTATGACTGTAGTTTATCCAATGTCAGGTACAGCCTACAGGGCAAATTCCTGCAACTATATTGCAACGCAATTTTGGACACAGAATTTTATAAGAATTATAATAATGCTGCGGCTGGAGAATAACATAACAGCATGAATATCACTTATCAAGAGTTTCATGGCAATGGCATGCTCAGTTGTCTAAAGAAAGAAATATATACATATATAAAATAGCTATATACTAATATATCACTGACAGGTCTAGTCTGGTCTAATTGAACCTAATCACAAGTGAAATCTTAATCCTAGTTATTCCTATGTCCACAAAAAATGCCGTATAAAATGCCGCATGCTATATTAGGTCAATAATGAATACTGAGTTGAGTCGTTTACGATATATACGGGACGTTCTTTTAGCCATTTTGTTGTACCTCTCTGTGACCTAACAGCGTAGAAATTGGTTTTTATGAAGTTTCAACCCGAAAATCTAAACACTGGTTCACAATTGTGCATTTCTGTATCAATATCAAAGAGAAAACTATCGAGGTTAAAAAAGTTCAATTTTCCCTCCGAGAATACGCATTCTGCAATCTTTTGACAGCTCATCATACACATCTGACAGCTGTGAAATGGTCATTTTGATGCTTAAAGTAAACACTAGTTATTAATTGAGACGATTCGTTGTGCAAGATACCTTGTGCAAGCTTCAAATCCTCTGTGCAAGTTATGTTTTGGTAGGCATTTATAAATCTTTGGCAGTTATGTTTTGGTAGACATCTATAAGTCCAATATCCTAATATCCCCTTACGTGACCCTGAACCATGCATATATCCCCTTCCACTACTGATCTAATAGTATAAACGTGACACCCAGCCACTCCCTGAGAAGTTCTCTCAAACACCTTCCCACCCCACGGAGCGTCACGTATTCTGTGACAATGGAGAGGTTAAGACACCCCGGTTCTTCCTGTGCACGGGTACGAGTAACGCTATCTTGTTTACTGACTTCTGCTGATGTCAGCGTCTTTACTCGTAATTTCTACCCGTTTCTCGCATGGGTGAACCATGGCCTACGCGTAAACACAACCGGGTACGGGTATTGTATGTTTACTATTTATGGCCGTTTAAATTGCAAAAACTTTCACATTTTACCAAATAAATAATCCGCAGACGCTTGTCAAAATGTTAACAATCTAGTATGACACACAATCAAAAGGGAAAGTTACTATTTTCTGATCGGACCAATTTAGTTTCCGTTGTATACAAGTACGTATACCGATTACCAGTGGCGTAGCCTGCCTCACGATTTTGTCCGCTATGTAAATTTCGAGTTATTAAAATTATTCATGGCTTTAGAAATTTATTGTTTTAGCAGTCAGTGAACACTAAAATATTAGCATAGCGGGACAAATCGACAGGCTGGCTACGCTACTGCCGATTACCCGTACTCGTAAACGGGGTATCTTAACCTCCCTATATAAGATGATGTGCTGTACACGTAACGATAAAGGATTCAGTGATTCACTGGTGATACTGAAAACAAACAAGTTAGGCCTGTTTCAGACGTCGAACTTTTCATGTGCTGAACCTAACGCAAATGAACTAAAGCCTTTGTTTAAGTTCATTTGCATTCGATTCGGCATATGAAACGTTCGACGTCTGGAACGGGCCTTATTTCCGTTTGATGAAAACAGGACTAAGCAATGTTGTGCTGTATCCATGCACAAACAAAGTTGTTTTAAACAAGCTGCAACAGTGTGTTGAAATATGTTTAAACTTGATAACAATTCTGCATCAATTCTTCATCATCGGCCGAAATAGTATAATATAGCCTATAGTCTTTCAGTGTTGCGCGCTATACATTCATTTAATCTCGGCTGTTTTAACTGAGATGCGTTTTTTAAGTGAGAAGTTCCTTTCACGTCAACCACTTGGTTGAATGATAGGGAGAAGTTTTCAAGTTGCCGTGCACGTATGTGTTTTACCTAAATACTATAGTCTGTCATTATATAGTCATGACGCACACGATCACGGGGGAGCTCTTTGACGCGTTGAATTCCGGGCTGTAAAGTAAATATTGCTCCAATATCCAAATGTAACAAAGAGTAACAAAGAGTTTGAAAACAGGTGAAAAATTAATGCGAAAATGACGCTACTCGAGAGTCATTTGTTGCGTTTCACTGACCTGTAAATTCCAGCTATATCCTTGGACATTGAGCATGCCTATAATTGATATGTTTGGCGGTCTCGTTCCAAAGCTTGCAGTGCATGGAGTCCACATAGTAAAACTCCGAGAGAAAAAACTTTCGAACGGTTTATGCGAAACGAAGCTCTTCCGAAATTGATCGTGGATGTGAATAGTAGTTCAGCCGAATTCATATTAAGGACGGGAAACTCATCTTAGACGAGAAAATTGATGGTAGAAATTCGTTTATACACTACTGTTATAATCATTGACACGGCTAGGCGAAAATGGGTACCAATGAAATGGGCACGGGTACCCATTTTCGGTGTGCCGTGCCAATAAATCAAGTGTAGCATTGATTCTGTTGATCATAACATATACTACTTCAAAACTACACAGCTGAAAACTTGCCTGCGCCATGCATGCAACAATGTTGTGCTGTCAGTATTTTTAACACTTGTCAACAACATCGAACAATAGTTGAAAATAAACCGGGTGTAACAATATTGTTCGATGTTGATAACAACTTGAGAACAATGTGGGCGACACGACATGTTTTTATCCTGTTCATATCAATATTTCAACAACCTTATACCAGTTACTTTCCTCTTAAGAAGTAAAATATTACCTTGTCTTTACAGAGTATCGAGTATTCAATTTTTTTCATTTTATCGACCTACCTAGATGCTCTGAAGCAGCTTAATTAATATAAGGTATGCGTGGTTTCGTACAAACTATGCAGAATTAATGGCAAATATACGAGATATTTGAGGCAAAACCCATCTAAAATGACAATATATGACTATCAACGTTTATGCATGGGATCAAAACAAAAAGCGTCTTTTTACTTATATAGGACACTCGAAAGTTTGCACAATAAAACTGAAGTATCCCTATATAAGACTGATTTATATAATGCGCATGACTGTGAGTTCTTGCAGAGATGGAAATCGGTCGCGTAAAACGTGGGCTTGCAATTAAACATCTTGGAAATGAATTCGGGAATTACTCTGATAATATGCGTCCTAGTATAGATAAATATTCTTGATATGCAAAATAATTGCATGCGATGCGTAACAATTAAGACAGAAAACAAATATTAAAATGTTTTTTTTCTCGTATGACCTGAAAGTTATCATTTGACATGACGTTTTTATAAACTA